TAAAGGTACAATTCCCAATGAGAAATGTAATTGTGTTGTATACCTACAATGTACCAATAAAAGAATTTAATACAAAAAAAAAGAATATTCTCTTCCATACAACCCCCCCCAAAACTCAGATATATCATTTTAAAAAGATGTGTACATGAAACATGTCTATTTCATAGGCATTTCTGACCTCTATTGGCCTCTATTTAATTCAAGTTATTTAGAAGGAATCTGGAAATTCATATCTTATTTGGTGATTTTATTAATTTCTGTCCTAAAATATAATTGTTGTTCTTCCACAGTTTACAATGAGTATGCAAATACTATAATTTAATGTTTTTATTTCTGAGAATATGTCCTGTTAGTGCATGAAATTGGTTAAAAATGCAGAGGAATTAACTATATTGTGTTACTAAAACAGTTTTTATCAACTTATAAAATAGTTGTAAATTTTCCATGAGGATAGCTAACACTTTCCGACAATTAGTCCAGTGTTTAGTAGGTATTTTATCACTTTCCACCATCTTCAGTCTTGTGAATGTGATAACCCAGACTAGAGTCCCATAGGAGATAATAGTTTTAGGAACAATGTCATTCAAGTACTTAAATGGATATAAGTTCTAAAACCTTTAATCCATGTCAGATATAAAATTTCTTGAAAATTACAATGTGGGATAGTTTTAAAGGCAGCTTGTAAAAAAAGGCATCAGCAGTTTGGTAGCATGTGGACACTATGTATTCTTGTAGAATTCACATGGGACCTCCCCAAGCCTCTACAATTTGTGTAGCTAACAAATAAACTGATCTTACTGATGTATTGATGGGTAGATCTTGGTCAGGTTTGTGATGCTGGACATTTATGCCAATAAATGAAAAAAAGAAAAAGCAACTTTCACTGATGTTGCAAATATACATGATGCCAGGGCCAGGGATTTAGCTCAGTGGGGTTGCCACCTGCCTCGCAAGTGCAAGGTCCTGAGTTCAATCCCTGGTACCAACCCCCCCCAACCCAAAACAAAACAACAACAAATATACATGATGCCCGAGTGACTTGGAGCTCTCACCAGGCTAAATGCAGAACAATTCTAACACCATTAAATTTGAGTTTATCTCAAGCTACTTAATTACACTTTAAAATCAGTTTCTTTTAGGTTAATTTAATACTGTGTGGAACAATGGGAAACAGAATATCCTATTGACATTACTACAAAGTTTAATTGTAATGGCATCAGGACACATATCAGCATGTGGTAACCAGTCTTGTACCCAGCCATTTGTTCTCCCAGGCCAGTTAAATTGCAACAGAGATTAATAATGCCCAAAGGTATTGCAATAAAATTGTGTACCAGCAATGTGGGATGGATTTTTAAAATTTAATTTCTACTACATATTCTAAAGACCCCAAAGCATTGTTCTCAGAAATCCTTTTCACTACATGTTGAATCATAAATGTAGACCCCAAATTAGAACACCACTAGTATACTTTGAAAGCTAAGAAAAACTACATAAATTAGGAACACTAATTACATCTTCTATGTGTTTAGCTTTTTGTCTCCTTATTTTTCTCTTCAAACACTTTAAAAATAGAACTCCCTATATTTACTGCCTCAATATTTTATAAGCAGTTGTTTACCACTATTTTCCTGAAGTAGATAATCATATTCAAATTACATTTTGGTGTGCAAAAACAAGACACAAAGTGAGTTAATTTTACATATTGTTTAGGAAAGTTAAGCAAAAGCACATCTTCTATGAGAAGATATTTGTCTCTGACCACAACAGACAACAAAATATTGGTACAATTGACTAAAAACTCCATTGAAATCCATTGCTATAAGATACTTTTTGAGATAGCAGTTTTCTAATCACCTTCATAACAAAATGTACATACATGCAAATTTAGATTCCAACCTATGAAACTAGGGTTGACCATGAATTCTACTTTGGCAGATAAACCCAAAGGAAAAATTTTTTTAAATAAAGTGCTAGAAAGTTTTGGGAAATAAAAATAAATACAATTGTTTTCAGAATGTGCACTTTAGTTTACATATGCATGACCTGACTGTCTTATGAAGAGACAATCAAGTTTAAACTTACAATTTATTTGCATAGATTATTTAATAGGAATAGAACCTCTAAATAATGATCTGATTATAATTAGCCCTCATGTCATCAATCAAAAGTAAAAGTTTAATCAATTTAATTAACCAGGCACAATCACAGGAAGAATGACTTAATTTTATTATAACTTTTTCCTAGAGTATTAGTAGTGATTTCATGTTTATATTTTAGTTCAGGATGAGTGAAAGAAATGCTAAAGCAAAGACGTTCATTTAAATGTTTCTTCAAATTCTGCAGTCACTGGAAGATGTAATGAAGTAATAAATACATTGAAAGCTCAAATTATCACAGACTTTAGCATTTAAACAAACTATTGATACTTACTTGCCTGCCACACACTGAACCCACTTTAACAGAGCCTTCTTGGCATTTCCTTGAATCTTGGTAGCCACCTTGCGTTTACTTGGAGGACTGGTGGTCTCCGAGCTGACAATGCTGTCCAGAGAGGATGCGCTGCTGGACAGCGACTGTAGCTGTGGCAGGTTGCTGGTCAGCTCTTCAATCTGTGTATGAGTTAAAAGCCAGCAGAAACGTCAGAATTACCTTTGCTCTTCTTTCCTTAGAGAGTTTACTCTTCTAACTAAAAATGATTTATCTTAAGATCCTTAACACCCCTGACAAAATGGTTGATCTTACTCCCTTTTAACTTCCTACCACACTTCTAAGTGTATCCAACACATAATAACAAATATTCACACTAATGAATCAGTGCTGTGGCCTGGATATGGTTTGGGTTCACGGGTTGGAAGCTTGGTCTTCTGTGTGGCAATATTGGGAGATTTTGGATCTGTAAGAGATGAACCCTAGCAGGAAGTCATTGGAGGAGCTCCCTGGGAAAAAGGAATTGATATTTTTTATGGAACCCTCATCAGCACTCATGAGAGGTTGTGATACAAGAGCAAGCCTGGCACTTCCCTGTCTTTCCTACTTCCTACCTCACCATGTGTCATCTCTCTCTTGCACACACTCCTGCCATGATGCATTCTGGCAGGATAGGATGCAGCAAGGGAGACCCTTGCCAAAGCTGGCTCCGTGTTGTTGGAACTTGTAGTTTGCAAAACTGAGATTCAATAGGCATTTTGTTGACAAGTTACCCAGTCTTTTTTACTTTGTTGTAGCAATGGGAAACAGACTAATACAATTTAAAAAATAAAACCTAATGGTTATAAAATTATACTGGAAGAAATGGCAATTCATTTCCCCATCCTGTCCCCTAGAATTTCTCTTTGCCAGAGGGGAAAAATTCCCTAGCTCCTTATATTTCATTTCCACTACATTTTGTCTCTATTGTGACACACACACTTTTCAGATTTAATCTTTTGCAGGAGTTCTTTGTGGTGGAGGGTTTCATAAACACCTTAGGAGAGAAAATTATCCTATTACCAAAATCCTATTTATGGATGAAGGTCTCATTTCTGTTAATTTGCAGATCACCCAAACACATGGCAGGGGGGTGTTATAACATGTCTGCCACTCTCTCCCTCTTTGATGTTGCCCCAACTGAAAAAAAAAGAACTGAAATACCATACCTGGAAATATAGAATAATGGTCCATATCAGGCCAAGAACTATGGATGGCCGGCCATCAGCTATATCAGTGGAGTTAATGTTGACTAATTTAATCTGCATAAAAAGAAAAGCTGTACTAGTAATGTGCTAGAATGTTATAATGCATTTTACAATGATTGGGACTTTATTAGACATCGATAAGATCTGTTCATGCCTATGTAGCAATACACAAAGTCAGTAGGGTGAGCCATTAAAACACAGGGTTCGGTGAACATTTTCAAGGGTATTTGTTAGGTGCACAGAGTAAAACCAACGAGAAGATGGACTTCAAAAATTTCAAAAGTATATAATATCATGCAGAGGATTATCAAACAAAAAAGCCCAAACCAAAAACAACCCCCCCCCCAAATCAGTTATTTTTTACATTTAGGGTTGACTGGAACTTAAATTGTGATGAATAGTTTGAGAAGATTCACTTACTTTGAAGTTTGCTACCAGATAGCATGAAACTTATGTTCTCTTTTACATATAAAAATCAGGAGTTAAAAATTCTAAAATTTGTACTAACCGGTGATCCTCTGTACATGGACTGACATGAAAAACAAAGGAAGAAGGTGATATACATAAATATCCTTTCAAATCAACATCATCTGTTAAAAGGAAATTAAAAGGTAGAAAATGTAGAGCAGGACTTTGGGAGCACACTTTAAAGAAGAACCAAGGAAAGCCAGCACATATTAGAATAGAGGAAGACTATTAGCACTTAGCTCCTACTTTGGGGGCAACAAAAACTATAAAGCATTCAGGATAACCTGTCCACAGTTGGCCCTCAGTATTCATTTTGATGTTTTCCTAACAATCAAAAGTATTTCTAAGTGCAAACAAAATGGACTTATATGGTAAGGCTCACTTCATCAATCTGTACCACATGCAATCAACAACTAACTACTCATCATACTTTTTTTAATCTCCAGAGAAATTAGAAAAGGATAATGAAGTACTCTTCAAACTTTTAGCTCAATAAGTCTCAGCCAAGATTTCATCAAGTGTATTCTTAATAATAAAGTTCAGAAATTTGTAGATGGTTTACTTTTAAAAATGTTTGTTAGAGATCAAAATGCATTATTTCTTTCCTTAGTAAATATAACATTGAAAATGTGGTTTCTGTACTCATTTTTTAACTTAGAGTTGTTCTGTGAAGGTGGATGTTGTGAAGTAGAGTCTTCTTTTAAAAAGGTCTTTATAAACAATGCCTTCCATAGGTTGTCATTGAATAAGTCACCACAGTATTAATAAGAGGAAATTTATTTTTATTTTCTAGCCAACAAATATTCCTCAGAATTGTTTTTGAGACAGATAGTTCAAACTGGCCTTGAACTCAAGGTGATCCTCCTGCCTCACCCTCCTGAGCGCTGGGAATACAGGCGTGCACCATCACTCCTGGCTTATTCCTCAGAATGGATGAAGGCACTATTACCATATAGCTGAAATAGGAGGCTGGGTGTCCTGAAAGCCTCTAATATCCTGTTCAATAAGACTTCATTCTGCTTTCTATGAAAAACTAACACGGGGATTAGAAGAAGAGAAATACTGCCATAAGAATGAGAGTAGAGTGATCAGAAAACACTGCCCAATATTGTATAAGAATCTAACATTATTTTCTACATTATTTTAATGCCTGGAATCTCTTTTGAGCCTGGAATCTGTATGATTCACTAAAGTTTATGGTGACTCATTGCATTACCAACTTATCAAAATATACATTAATTAAGGGTCAGAATCTGTTTTCTTTTAGTTCTTGTCTTATAAAATGTACTCAGTTACATAGTTGTGGAGCAAATCAACTTATTGCATACAGACTGAGAAGGAAATCATTGAATCATTCCATTGTGCAAAAGTTATGTGGATATTCTTCTATAAAATTGGCTTTGGTATTTGCCAAGTGAAGCCAGCCTAAATGCCCCAAAATTAGAAAAGGCTAACTCTAAGAAGACTGTGCAGACCTTTGGGAAGGAAATGTGGCAATATTTAGCAAAATTACATGCACAGTTACTTTTTAAACTAGCAATCATACTTCTGAGAATTTACTTAGAAGGCACACTTCTAGTCATATGGCAATAGTTATGCATGTAGTTATTAACTGCATCATGACTTCTGTTTGAAAAATATTAGAAACTACTTAAATGCTCATTCATAAGAGAGTAGTTGAGCAAACTGGCACCTTAAGGCAATGGAATACCATGCAGCCATAAAAACAAAAAAATGAAATTTTTATAGATCTATTTGGGGTGATTTCCAAGATAAACTTGTCAATTTAAAGAAAGGTAAAATACTACTACAGAATGCTACTCTTCATGTAAGAAAGGAGATATATGAAAACACGTCTCATTTGTGAAAAGAAGTACAGAAAAGATGTCAGAAACTAGAGAGACAAGTTATACAGGGAAAGGAAATGGAGTCAGAAGTATGAGAATGAAAATGGAGAGGAGAAAAGAGGGGAGAGTTTGCACTACTCTAACTTTTACTCTTAAAAACATAGCAGTGTTTCACTCCCCAAAATTAAACACTCTCTCTCCCCCTCTCTCTCCCTCTCTCTCTCTCTCTCTCTCTTCTTCCCTCCCTCCCTCTTTCTGTAGAGGTGCAAGATGCAACAAAAATACATAAACTTAATTCTGCCACTAATGAATGATGTAAACACATCAAAAGGTACAGGGAAGAATGGAACTAACCTCAACACTTTCAGAAAACAGTCACTGATTGAATACATTAATGTTAAAGATTAAAAAAAAACTGTACACAAACACTGTTCTCTAGTTAGTAAATCTGTTTCTCACAGGCATATGGATTAGCACTTATGAAACTATCATATGTGTATATAGTACCAGAGCTAAAAAAATAAATGAAGGTATTATAGATTAGAGTCAAGTTTCTTACTGTCAGAGGCAGTAGAAACAAATAAGGAGATGCTAAGTAGAAGCTTGCATTATATTTTTGTATTTTCCAGTCTGGAAATAAACTTCTAATCTTTAAAAATGATCTATTTTCAGGTATTTTATTAAGGCCACAGAAAACAGACTAAGACAATGCCTTATTGAGTGATCAAAGTTAACTTCAGAATATCAGAATCCTGTATCCACTAATATGATACATGATGAAGAATACAGTATCACAATGTGTAATTTCAACCCAATCATGACAAAACGTTCTGCAAAAATAATGGACCAGCAATATCAAAAAGGTCAAAAGTCACAAAGATTAAAAAAAAAAAGAATGAAAACCTGCCATAGAATGGAGAGACAATTAAATGCACAACGTGATGCTGGGTTGGATCCTGGGATAGAAACAAAACATCAGCGGGTATTGGATGGAATTAGACTAAGGTGTATGCTTTAGTTAACAGTATTATTGCCAATTTTAATTTTTAAATTAATCTTTTCATTTTACAAACAATATTATGGTTGTGTAAGTTCTCAACATTAGCAGAAGATAAGTGAAGTGTGTATGTGGAATCTTCTCTGCAAGTTTTTGTAAATCTACAATTATTCCACAAAGATATTGCATATCTAATCTGTACAAATAGCATGCAGGGTTTTACTCCTTGGCTGATCCTGGAATGTAGTATCCGGCACTTTCTTCTACAGCTGTTTTAATTTTGTTTCTCTCTTACCTTTCTTCCTTCAAGGAAGTTCAGCGCTCTGCCAATGTTAGCCACAGCGTGGATTCGCTTCATACGGCGGCCCTGTTCACAAGGCTGTGGAAAGGGAAAGAGCAGTAATAAATAAAAATATACACATTAAAGAAACAGTTACAAGATCTAGCCAAAGAGATTAAAATATTTGAAGAATATTCAAAAGTGACTCATTTTACTGTTTCCATAGGTTAGCAAATACAAAGGGTGATCAAAAGATACAGTGAATGCTGAAAATAAAAAAAACTTATTACAATAAAAGACACATTGCCAAGAATGATGGGATAAAAGTATATTTAAAGCAAGAGGAGTATTTTGAATATTTTGAGGGGAATTAATGAGAATGGGTCTTTTACTGTAATGACTTTTAAAATTTAAACATTCATTGCATTTTATGATAATCCTCATTGATCAACAGTTTGCAGCAGTTTCTGTCAAGTAAAAACCTTACGATGTGTCCTTATCCACCTTATTCACCACATCTGGCACTGTGCGATTTCTGGTTCTTCCTCAAAGTCAAAATGATTGCAAAAGTAAACATTTTGAATCAATTCAGGCATCAGGGCAGCCATGACCTGATGTATCAACTAAAGATACAAAAGAAGACTTCCAGGATCACTTCAGAAAGGGCAAGAATGACAAGATAGATGTGTTTGAAGCAAGGGAGCATCTTGAGGGGGTTAATGGCAAGGCATCTTTTGAATTTTTATCTTCATGGCACTCTGAAAATGTGTGATGTGGAAACTTACTAAAAAAAACAGCAAAAAAAAAAGGTCATCCTTAGCTTACCTGTTAATGCATTTGACCTGTAAACTTATACACACCTTAGAGTGGAAATTCACCCAACTCCTATCTCTCTATTGATTGCATATGTTAGGAAATATTTATGAGTATTCCCAGTCACTCACCATTTTTCCCAATTCATATCAACAAACAAGAATACTGATAGTACTGGCAACATTTCTTGGTTTGAATGACTAAAATAAAGAGAGCATGTGCACCATGCTTAAAAATAGAATATAAGAATAAAAATGTTACTCACATCAGAGTGTTCTGGCCTGTGCATACTTTATCTGTGCTTATGTTACCAAAATTTATTATGTGCTTTCTCTGCACCACATTGGTAAGCTGAAAACTCAAAGCAATTTCAAAGAAGTCCATATTATTAGCCTCCTCTACACTCGTGGGAACTACCAGCGGAGCTGAGAGGTTCAGCGGCTTTCCTCAGGTTACATAGCTGGCAAACTGGTCTTATCTCTGTGACCCTAGAGCTCTAAATAACTTCCCATTAAAATTTAAAAGCAAATATTTTAGATTTCCAATTAATATCGTTTTAGTAATAATCTTAAGATAATGCTTTTGAGCAATATTCAAACAGAAGGTACATTTTAAAACTTTTCATTTGTTCTTTACCGGAAACTCTGTTATACATGATAGTCTCATTACTGGTCCATGCACAGCTCACTTAGAGTTTATTTAATTATTTACCTTTTACAATGTAAAATTACCCCATGAATCTGTCATCTAAACCAAGGCCAGGACGTGCAATTGAGGATGAAAGCCAGATATCCCTCTACTCCACCAATATCCATTCTATCCTCTTGTTTCCCTATACCCGTGGTAAGCACCACAGTAAATGTAGTCCAACATTTTCCATTCTGTATAGATTCATTTAATTTTCGAGCTTTCTTAAAAATATTTATTGGAGTTTTAATTTTATACAGAGTAGAACTTAATAATCTTTGAAATATGCTTTTCCACAGAGCAGTACTGTTCTGAGATTCATCTGCATTGGTAACTTTCACTGTATTTAATTATTTTGATAGCTGTATAATGTGCCCTGTATAAACTTTCCTTCTGATGTGAACATGGGTTATCTCTTGGATATTGCTGTTGTGATCTAAGCAGACTGATGCATACTTCACATCTCATACTTCACATCTTCTGTACAAGTGCAGTTTCTTTTTAGCAAGATAACTGCTCAGTGAAGGGAATATAATTTTTGAACTTGCACAGAAATGCCAAATTTTTCAAACAATGGTTGCATTATTTTTTGTCAGCATTGAGAAAATAATACGGTTGACCCACATCCTCTCCTACACTTGATTTTGACAGCTATTTTTAAAATGTATGTAAAATAGCTGCTGTTTTTCATCCTGGTCTTCACTCGCATATCCCCATATGCAATGATATGGACATCACTTTGTCTCCTCTTTGGCAATGTGTTTCTTTTGTAAAATGTCTTTTCATATTTCTTGTCCAAGTTTTCCTTTGAGTTGTTTGTACTGTTACTGTTTTGAAGATGTACTTTATATACTTAAGCAGCATTAATTGTAAATTTCTTCAACAAGATTACTGCTTGCTTTGTCATTTTTGTTTTTGGTTTTAAATGTTTTGAATTATAATATAGCTAAATATAACAATCTTTAAAATCAATATTTTTTGTGTCCTAATGAGTGATTTTTTTTCTTATCCCAGTGTCTAAAAGATAAATGCTTATATATTCTAATATATTCTAATTTAGCATCATTGTAAGACCTGATATCCAGTAAGGCAAATACCTTCTCTCTGCTTTTCTTCTTCAGATGTATCTCAACTAAATAAAGAAGATGTAAACATCTGTTGTGTTTTTGCACCTATTTTTATACAACTTAGTACAATTATTTTCACTACTAGCCTAACAAGTCTCCTTGGAGGGAACCAACTGTATTCCATTTCTCTGTGCTTTCCTTAGAGGGGATAAGGTAGCACAATCCACAATAAGAATCCCAGAAGCATCAGCTGAGTGGTTAGTTTGCAATACCAAATCACATTGTGAAACTGAGGTCTACTCTCAATATGTGATTGAGACTGACAAAGTCACCTGGACAGGAGCTTTTGATGCTCAAGATTTCCTAACAGTGTCCACTGTTTGTTTCTTAGTAGGTTACTAGGTGTCTCTTGAATGCAAAGTGTTAAAGAGTCTTTTAGAAAGCACACTGCACAGGTTAACAAAATAGGTAAGAAATTCCTCCAGTTGTCAATTTCTATTCAAATTGCTTGCATAGTTTCTATTCTTGTCAATGACAATTACTCACATCTTTAAAAAACACATAATCACTGACTCATTTAGAAAGCAAATGCTCTATAAATAATATCTAATGGGTGTAGAGAAATCCAAGAATAATAATTTTAAAATTTAAAAATTCTGGGAGGTTGTAAATAAAATCATAGACAAGGGAATAACAACAAGTTACCAAGGAGGTCTAGGACACTGAAACTTCACCTTCACTTTAATGTTCTGGCAGGATTGAGGATACTATGTCATTTGACTACATTTCCAAAGTGATTGTGGTCAAAGTCAGAGCCCTGGACTATGTAGCTGTGATACTAAGTACTGCTTTTTTAATAGAGTTATATCCCTTGGATAATTATGGAATTCCTGACCATGTTAACACACCTGAGGGCAATGCTTTTGCTTGTATTCTCCAACTGAAATGTCCTAAATGGGCGCCTAGGGTGCTCATTCCTTTACATGATGCTTTTTATCTTCCTGTGGTCCCAACCATAAACACATGTACAAAATTTAAATCACCATTGCCAAAGCATATTTATAATTTCAGAATAGTTTCATTCATGCAATTTAGAATGGTAAAGAGATCCATATAAATAATAGAGATCAAATCAGAAACTGCCCTTCTATTTCTCAGTTTCCCTGTTAAATGAGAATGCTAGGGCTCTTTCTGAGATCCTTTGTAGCTTTAAGATCTCATAATTCTAACTATGTTTGAATGAACATAGCATTAAAGAAAATTAGGATTGCTTTTTCAAAATACATGCTTTTTCTAGAATAATTTAGCTTGCCAGTTAAATGTCCATCCAGATTTTTCTGCATAGATTTTTGGCTAACTACACTGCAGAATTATATTTGGAGCTTAAAATGACAAATACAGTTCTTGAATACCCATATGAAAACTCATTCACCCTGCAGGTAAATAGCTTAATTCAGGAAGTTTGGAAGATGGCTACTTATAGCAGGGGGCATATATTTCAATCTAATGATTCTCATATCCTAGTACTGATCTAGTTACTTAACAGATGTATATGCCTATATATTCCAAACTGGCTGTTTATATGTTTTCTGTTGGTTCCTGCCAAAGCAGAGCTTGAGATAAGGACTTGGGTGCCTGTAGTTTATTGGAGAGCTGAGCTAAGGTAGTGAGAGTGAGGACTGTGGAGAGGGAGACTAGGAAGGAGAAAAATTCAGTAAAATGTGTGCTACTAGAAGTTACTGCTGTGGACAATCAGACCTCAGTCCTCCTGGGGACTCTGTGTAGAACTACATGAGACATGTGTGAAACACACTGCAGGGCCGTCTCTCCTAACAATCCTAGGCTGAAACATTCATTTGTGGATTCCCATCTCTGTTGGTTGAGGGTCCTTTGGAATCATTAACTCCCACATGCTTTAGGGCTGCCATGTCAACTTGCCCCTTTGATAAAAGTCCTAAGATAGCAATCTGGAGAGATGCTAATAGCACTAGAAGTGAAATCCCGTCAAGGTGCACGGGAATGTCTGCCACCCACACAGCTGAAGTCAGAGGTGAGCTGAAACAGGATGTGGGGCTCAGAGGCACCTGCCGCAATGTAAGTCCAGTTAGATAAATGATTTACACAAAATTCTTATCAATTTGTACTTCCCAACAAATGACTCTTTTACAAAAGTTACTATGAAGACTCCTTGCACAAAAATAACTAGAAAGTTATATGAAAGCAAAACCTTTTAAAAACTCAATTATCCAAGAATAGTGATTGCCAAGATAAAAGAGATAAATAAAAAGGGCTGCCAACCTCAGACTTGGTGTCTGTTGTTATGAAACATTTTGAAGATTATTTCCTAAACTATTTTTTCCAATTATAGTAAACATTAATTTAAAGTAATTTGTTTACAAACTGTTTACTCTCCTCCAGAATTAAAAGATATAGGCAAGAAAATATAAATATTTAATTATTCAATAATATACTGAAAAAACGTACTTTGTAGTTCACTATCAATGTTGTTTTTCATCCTGTTGGTTCCATAGCATAGAAAAAAACTCTGAACATCCTGTTCTTACTACAAATGATGACACAGGGGCTCAACAAAAACATGAAAAATGTCACATTAGTTTCAAGCTTAATTTTTAACAACTATATAAATACACAGATAAGGACTAGCAATCTTTTCCAAATGGGAAGCAAACACTTAAAGTGAGGCTAATTTGCACTAATTAACAAGTTGCATTAATTTGTAACTAATTTTAGTAGATATTATTGCAGATTAATAGCCATATCAGGTTACTGATGAAGTTCTTTCTTGTTACTACTTAGGTTGCTTCTACAAACATAATGTTTTCAATCCACTAGGAATTGTTTCCAGTGTATTATCAGCTATAAAAGAAGAGAACTGCCAGGTGTTGTGGCGCACATCTGTAATTTGAGCACTTGGGAGGCTGATGTAGGGGGAATCTCTGTGAGTTTGAGGCCAGCCTGGGCTACATTGTGAGTTCAAGGCCAGTCTGGAATATACAGACAGATCCTGTTCAAAGAACAAAATAAAATAAAAAAAGAACTTTCTCTCATGTGGGTAGCATCCCTTATACTTCCAAGATTCCAAATATAAACCATTTGACAAATATGGTCTGAAAAATCCTTACCAGTTTCTGCCCAGACAGGACTTCCAGAAGAGCCAGCAGCTTGACACCATCTTTCATGTCTTCAAAAAGATCACCCACCACCATTGGGGGCTTCCGCTGTAAAATAAAAAGGCCACTCAGTGTGGCAAAATCTCCAGCTTCTATGAGAAATTTCTATCCCCTCCCCATTCTTTCATTTTGTGCTGGGGATTGAATCCACAACTCTGCATATGCTAAGCACACACTCTTCCACAGAGCTATACCCCAAGCCCTTTAATTATTAATATTTTGGATATAATTGCCAATTATCTCTCCATAACTGCTAGAAGAAAAAATACAGCGGAAATAAAGCTTAATGTTCAGAAAGCTCATACAACTTCATGCTTAGGCAGCTTAATTCTAAAATGAACTTTTTTAAAAACAAGGGTGTAATGGTATAAGATGGAAAGAAAAAAGGGCCACCATCAACCTAAAAAAGGGAGAAAGAGAGAGAGATTAAAGCTGACCTGAAAGGACAGCAGGAGACACCCCAGACAAACTGCACTGACCTCACTACTTCATGTGAGCAAGCTATCTCCTGGGGCTTAGCAAGGTGCAGCCCTTCTACAGGACATTCCCACCAAGGCTGCCTCATTAGCTCAGTGACCCACTGTGTGAGTGCTGTTGTGTGGCCAAGGTCACAGACTCAGTTTCCCAGAGGGAAACAGGTTGGCTGTGCTCTGTTTCACAGCCTGGCACATCTAGCAAATCACTCAGTACAGCACTGAAGCCAAAGGAACATAAGCACAGGACAAGATGACAGGGCAAAGCCATCACCACCTCTGCAAAAGTGGCTCCTGTCCAATCACGGGGATCTTTCATTTGTTAATGAAGTCTACAAATGCTCAATACACTAGAGTTCATAAGACCTTGAATTAAAGTCTATCCTGGCTTAGAAGAAAATAAAGAAATGATGCTAATGTTAATGTTCAACAGAAGGGAAGTGCTCACTGACTGTTTTCCATTTATCATCTGATTTCAAGCTCCATACTTTTCTGATTCTCACTGAATATTGTTAAAGGTCTTAATGTTGACTCTTGACTTTCAATTGTTTTTCATGCTAGAAAAATATGTTCAATGTAGATCTATTCAGATACCAAATGTTTTGTTGAAATTGACTTCTTTTCTACCCACTGATAGGGAGCATTTATATTTATCTTATGGTTGCATGAATTATATACTTTGAATGGTACTATTCTAATTTTAAATGTATTTTCCTTTCATTACAAAATGAACAGCTGAGCATATTTTGTTCTTGTGCTGTGAAGTACATATTCAAAAATAGCAGTTTTCATCTTCAATCATTTTTTTGAGTTCCCTCCATTCACAGCGCTTCTTATTTACACAGCAAAAATATAATAGTGACTTTATATTCTAAGCATTAAATAACATTATTTAGAATAAAAGGAGCCATTACAGTGAAAACTATTTGGTGATAAGAATCAAAATCATTGTATTAACCATATATAGTTATTGTAAAGATAATTGATCACACAAAGTGTCATTTATATTCTAATAATTTAATAAATACTAAAGTAAATAATAAATAAAGGAAAACAAGGAAAAATATGTAATATTCTGTGGCAAATACAAATGTTTCTCATTAGATTGTGTTAACTTGAATACATGAGTCAAGTTTTAAAAAAAGGACATTTTCATGAAGTAATAAAGATTCCAAAGCTTGGACGTCAAAAAGAGGATGAATTGCATGCATTTATCCATTCCACTATGATGCATACACAGATCTCAGCTACTTTGAAAAATATTTTCTCTTGGCCTCACTTACGCCTCCCGCTTTTTTCCTCTATGTCCACTGATACTGCGACATTTTCCTTTTTGCCTCTGACTGCTGCCTGAGCAATGTTCCACAGGGCTTCTGTCACTGGCCTTCAGATCAGCAGTGACTGCTGGACAAGTCAGTAGTTCATCAGCCTCTGCATGGGGCATTGCTGAAACCATTCTCTCCCTTATCTGTTCCTCCCAAACGTCTTGGAGTGGTATGCTCAGTTCACAGGCCCCTCTATCTCTCTATGTGCCCATCTACTCTGCCTACCTGTTTGTCTGTTATATCTGTCTGTCTGTCTATCTATCTATCTATCTATCTATCTATCTATCTATCTATCTATCATCTACATCTACCTATCATTTATTTTCTCTTTTTTTTCTTCCTAACTTTGGCCACTCACCTAATTTAATCCTGAGTCCTTTGTTCTTTACAAAATTGTGTCTGCATACACATGGCTCTTGCATTCTTCTTTCTGGGTAAGTGGTCTCTCCTAAACTTTGTGAAACACATGGCAGGAATTCTGTACGTGTTGCTGACTGACTACTTGAATGAATGAATGAATGTAAATACTGTGTGAAACCAATGAGACACCTTCATTTATCAAAAATTACTCCAGAATGAAAAAAATCTCAGTGACAAATTTTGTAATCGCATTTTGCTTGAGTACATACATAGTCTATGATCAACCAGACACGACCTTTACTTTTGTGACTACACCACATTTTGAGGAAACAGTCTAACAGATAATCTTTTAGCTAAAATATTTCTCCAACTACAGATAGAAATACAGCATCAATATGACTGGTTGGACTTGGATCATAGGGCTGGAGGCCAATGAGAATAATTTACTGGAGCCAGACTTAATGGAAAATAAATGCAATGTGTTTTTTTTCCTATTGCTTTCAGGCACTAGACAGAAATCTGTCAAATACTTTCCAAGATCAAAATCATCTTTTTTTAATCAATAGAAAATTGTGATGAGCTGTACTTTTTCATAGAGTATTTGGCAAAATTACATTCTCTGGCCCCATCAGTTGTATTTTGTAAACTCTATGAAATACAGTGGAACCAAGACATATTCATGGAGTCTGAGGTGGAACCAAGAATGGACCTTTTGGTGGAGTGGGGTGATGAGGGAGAGAACAAGAGGAGAAGCATTTCACTTCTTGCTACATCTCCTATAAACTTTTCTCTAACTAGGTCTAAATTCTACATCCCGTCTGACTCAAGAGGGGTGGTCTGGTGCCTAAAGTCCCCAAACTCTCAAGGAACATGCACTTGCTTCAGTTGCTGATGAGTTGGCGTCACCTGGTGAGTCCCCTGGTAGGTAGTTCTCTTCCGAGTTGAACGGATACCACAGAGTGTTGTTCTCTACTTCTTCCCTCCCTTTCTTAATTTTTGTCATAGCAGCCCCGTCAACATATAATAAGACCTATTCCCTGTCTCCTAGGACTTCAAGCATCAAATGTTTCTCCTTGGACTTTATGAAACTTGGGGAGGTACAGGTATTTTTACTGACCACTTCCTATCTTTTGAGAAACCAATCTATGCTCTACGTGTGTGTGTGTGTGTGTGTGTGTGTGTATGTGTGTGTGAGCGCACACATGCATGAGTTTTTGTGTGCAGGTGTGTGTGACTAACTTGAGTCTCTTTGCTAATCTATAAGCAACACATATATTTAATCCTTACCTGCCACCTGTTATTGTAATTTTATGCGTGAAAGGATGGCCCTCTTTGCTATGGTATTTATCAATTTTATGCCCCGAAAACTAATTACCTTACTTAGGGGGAAAAGACTGAGAGAATAATCTGATGGAAAAAGGTACCAAGGATAACTATTTGAGGGCCATGGATTTAGCTCAGTGGTTTCGCCGCCTGCTGAGCAAGCACAAGGACCTGAGTTTGATCCTGGTACCAAAAACAAAACAAACAAACAAACAAACAAAAGGATAACTATTTATAACAAAAGGAAATTTGAGGAGCCAAGTGGGGTGGCACATGCCTGTAATTACAGTACTTCTTTACTCCTAGGAAAATCTATAAATATGAAGTCCAATCTTTAGTAGATTTCTTGTGGTTTAAAAGATTATATACTCAATTTTCCCAGATAATTTAATAGAGAGGAAAGCAGAGGAAAGAACAGGAAGCAGAAGGTGGAATGAATATAAAACTATTAACGTCTAAATGTGTTGAGTATTATTTTGTGGACTCTACATGACATCTCATTTTATATTCAAAGCCACCATGTATGATAATATGATCCTCTCTTCATTTATTTATATTTTCACTATTGGTAATCAAGCCCAGGGCCCCTTGCATGCTGGCAAGTGCTCTATCACTGAGCTATTATCAGCCCTCTATCCTAAGACATTGGCCAAGATCATTCCTCTATTGACTGGGATTTGAATCTAGGTTTATTATAATTTGAGCCACCTTGTTAGATAGGAAGCTTAGTATAAAATGCAGGCACTCTCCAGGATAATACACAAACCTATAAATGTGGCCTTTGTTTAATATCGATAGGGAAAGAAAATATTGGCTGATAAGCTGAAGTGCCTGCCACTCTACTAGAGACAGAAAATTTGTTAGCAAAGAGCCACTTCTAAATGTGAATTTAACAAAGACCAAAAAGTAATAATAGAATCATCATGCAAATCAACACACACTGGCATTGACATAAGTCAGCATGACTCACACCATGTCCCCTAAGATCATGTTTGTGACACCCCCTAACCTGAGAGGGGCCCATTGCATTCTCTGCTTTAATCTAGAAGGTGTTGGAGGTTAACTTAGGCTGTGGCAGTGACTTGAGGACAAGTGGCATCAGTTTCCGACTGTTAAGGTCTCAAGAGCTTCTCTGCTTCTGCCTTTCTCAAGACTTGAAGGGTGCCCAAGACACTTCCAGACTTGATGATGTGATAAAACTCAGAAAAGCTCTTACACTCATGGCTATGGTTTATCACAGCAAAATAAAACAGGTTAAAATCACCAAAGAGAAAAGGCACATGGAGTCCAGGAGACTCCATGCACCTGATTCCCAAGGCGAGTGACCTGTCCCTTCTGAAGCAGAGTCTTGAGGCACCACAGTGCTCTCAGCAGAGATGTGTAACATGTCAATGTTGCCAACCAGAGACACTCACTCAGACCTTAGTGTCCAGGGTGGATCACTGGTGGATCTGTCACATAAGCATATAGTGTCCATGACACTACCTATATTCCAGCCTGCTTCCTCAGCCCCACCCCCAGAAACACACAAGTGTTAACCAAAATCACACTGTCAATATTAAATGGT